CAAGTAGATACAAGAGACTAAATGGGCAGCTTCTGTCTGGAGGTGAGATGGGAAGGCAGAGAGGGTTAGGAGCTGGTTGAATGGACGTGGGGAATCAGGGATGGAAAGGATGAGTGTGCTGTCACAGTATGGGGAGAGCAATTAGGGTCACATAACAATGCACGTATAAACTTTTGTGTGGAAGACTAACTTGAAATGTAAACTTCATTTAAAGTACAACAATTAAAAAAAAAAAAAAAAAAAAAAAAAAAAGAGATATATATAGCATCAGTCACTTCTCTAAAGAGACCCTCCCAAAAATCCCCATGGTAACTGAAGTTTGTATTGAGACCATTTTCACGTCGCTTATAAACTTTTTTTGTCTTTCTTGATGTGTTTGTAGCAATGAACGCCCATAGCCCCTGTGTTGATTCTGCACACAGAAGTCAATCCTTGTAACCCTCTATAGATAATGTGGGCCAGGCTATTTAATAGGTCAAATCAAGTTAAAGTAGCGAGTGAGTGCCAGGACCACATAGCCTAGAGACGGGCTGCTTTTTTGAGTGGAAAGTGACCCGAGTGCTAGGTGTGTGACGTGTCTTTCAGTCTTAAAATTTGCCTAAACAAGACAGTACACAATACTGGGGAAGCCAGCACAACTTGTACAAGGAAAGGTCATGGAAACTCTATAAACACATCCAAACCCCTGAGAGACCGAATTGCTGGGCGGAGGGCTGTGTGGACCATGGTCTCGGGGAACATCTAGCTCAACTGGCATAACTTACTTTATAAAGACAATGTTCTACATTCTGCCTTGGTGAGTAGCATCTGGGGTCTTAAAACCCTGTAAGCAGCCATCTAAGGTACTCCACTGGTCTCACCCCTTCAGGAGCAAGGGAGAATGAAGAGAACAAGTTACAAGGGAAAGATTAGCCCAAATGACTAACAGACCACAACTACCAGGGCCTCCACCAGACTGAGTCCAGTACAACTAGATGGTGCCCTGCTACCACCACTGACAGCTCTGACCGGGATCACAACAGAGGGTCCCAGACAGAGCTGGAGAAAAATGTAGACCAAAATTCTAACTCACAAGAAAAGACCAGGCTTACTGGCCTGACAGAGAGTGGAGAAACCCTGAGAGTATGGCCCTCGGACACCCTTTTAGCTCAGTAATAAAGTCACTCCCAAAGTTTACTCTTCAGCCAAAAATTAGACAGGCCTATAAAACAAAACGAAACTAATGGGGCACAGCAGTCAAGGACAAGAAGGCAGGAGGGGACAAGAAAGCTGGTAATAGGGAACTCAAGGTCGAGAAGGGAGAGTGTTGACATGTCTTGGAGTTGGCAACCAATGTCACAAAACAATATGTATACTAACTGTTTAATGAGAAAATACTTGTCCTGTAAACCTTCATCTAAAGTACAAGAAAAAAAAATTTGCCAAAAGACAGCATACAGGTGTCCTTTTACCACAGGGAATCATGTCAGAAGATTAAAGACATCAGAGCCTTTTCCAGCATAGGTGTTTAACACGTGCCTTTTCTGAAACGCCCTTTGTTCCTGAGATGGAGCCGTCCCTGTTTGGGGTATGTTAGTGTCAGTGCCCGTTTAATGGCTGCCGACACGTGAGTCACGATGATGTCCAGTGCCTTTTCCTCCCTCTTAACTGTCTTCCTTCTCCCGTCTCTTTTCCTGGACCTAGGCTCAAATGGGAGATTTTATGTGAAAATTTGATAAGCCCTGGTGGCGCCGTGGTTAAAGTGCTTGGCTGCTAACCTAAAGGTCAGGGGTTTGAACCCACCAGCCACTCGGCAATCTGCTGTTGTAAAGATTTATAGCCTTGGAAATACTGTAGGGCAATTCTACTCTGTCCTGTAGGGTCTCTAGGAGTTGCAATCCACTCATCGGCAGCGGGTTTGATTTTTTTGGATTTTCATATTTTATTCAATGTTTGGAAATGGTAAGGATGGTGGTCATGAGCTTTGGTTGAGCACTGGTTTTGGTTTTCCAACGGTGGGTCATGACCAGTTAGTAAGCCATGCAATCATCTCGTTGGGTCCTCATCAGCATTTTTTAAAATAATGAGCTAGAATAATATAGAAGAGAAAATTAGAAATGATCAGAGTGCATCACACAGAGCAAAGGTAAGTATTTTGTACAACGTTTTTAGTTGTTTATACACAGAAGAACATACTGGGCACGCACTAGGTCGCGATATAAAGGGTACTTCTTACTGCGGGTCACGGTGAAGTGTTTTGGAAGCTGAAGGTTTATACCACTCCTTGGCTTGATCTCCTCATTGGTTTTCCACATGCCTCTTCTCCCTGAGTCCTTTCATGAACCTCCCTACACACAGTGTTTTAACGCCCCCATGCGCTGGAGTCAAAAAGATTTGCTCTTCTACTTAACAGCTGCATAATGGTGATCTAGTTAAACTTTTCAGTCTCTGTGTCCTTATCTGTGAAATGGGAGCTTATCAGTTTGCACGTCATCAAGATTGTCGTAGGAATTAAATGAAGTCCCTCATATGGTTCCTAGCAGGGGATATTAGTAGTTCAGTGGTAGAATTTTGCCTTTCATGCAGGAGACCTGGATTCAATTCCCAGCCAAGGCACCTCATGCACAGTCCATCAGTGGATACACCTGTGTGGCTATGATGCTGAACAAGTTTCAGCAGAGCTTACAGACTAAGGCAGACTAGGAAGAAAGGCCTGGAAATCTACTTCCAAAAATTAGCCAATGAAAACCCTATAGATCACAATGGTCCAGTCTGCAACCCATCATGAAGTTGGCACAGGACCGGGCAGCATTTTGTTCTTTTGTATATGGGGTGGCCATGAGTCGGGGCCAACTCAGTGGTGGCTAACGACAGCAGTTCCTGGTGCACAGTAGACACTTGGTAAATGCCGACTAATCCATATCCGTATCCATCCGTCTGTGTCTCTGGGCTTGTTCTTTTCACGAGCAGAAGTCTGTTCTGGGCATTGCCCTGTTGGCACATTGCTTGGTTCTCTCTGGAACCCTTCTGGTCCTGATCTGTTTGGTTTTGGCCATTAACCACTCTTGAAAACTCCCACTTACTGGTTAATCCCTTGTTTTCTGCCCTTGTCCTCTTAGCACGCTGCTTTTTATGTAGCTGAGTGTGGACTCCTGCAGCCCTGCCCTCAATTTACCCTTGCCTCCTTCTCTGTCATGCCCACCCATCCCCAGCCCAACCAAGTCCTACTTCATAGGTCACCACTCTTAAAGGAAAATAAACTTTAAAAATGTGTTTATCTGTACTGGAAGGACTAGTTCGCAGCATGATCTACCCAACTGCTTTATATTTTTCCAGCTCTGTAAACCCTTATTAAATATAAGACCAATTAGAGTTGCCGGCAAGAAAGACACAATGGCACGCAAACCAACAGAATGACTCAGTGTGAAATCTTGGTTTTGACTTTTCCACGTATTTCTAGGACAAAACTACTAGTTCACATACAAAGCAATTTGGCATGGATTTTCATCTGTTAAGTCTTTCTCTAAATTTTCGCTTGCTGTCCTGTAGACACAAAATAGAGGGCAGATAATAGAAAACAACAGCATTTTATTTGGGTGGCAGCTGTGTTGAGCTGCTTCCTTTGTTTTCCTTATAAATTCATACTATACATTTATATGTGTGAGTTCTCACTATATTGTACATGGGGGGGGTGTATCGTTACTTTAATTTGGCACGTAGTTAGAGCCCATATTTTGATATTTTTGTATTTTGAATGTTTTTGTAAGAATGTTGAATTTGGGAGTTTGGAAATTCTTCTCAGAATACTCAGAGAAATCATATTACATAGTAAATTTCCAAATTCAAACTTGACATTTCACATTTTGGTATTCAAGAACCATTTATCATCTCTTCAGTACTGATTCT